AACAGTTGACAGTACACAGCAGATTCAAGAACTAAACTTCCCAGAATAACTTCCAATGTATCATTAGTGGTTTACGCTTATATACCAGTGTGGGGGGAGTGGTTTTTATCTTCCCGGGTGTGTGTTTAAATGTTGTAGGCCAATGGAAGACAGAGGTTAGGCCTCTTGTTGTTGGAAGAATTTAATTGATTATCATTGCTTCATGCTGTACTGTCGCTTTAAGGAACTGTTTGCTTCTCATATTATAATCTAGTGTGCTCAAGACTGATGGAGAAATTACCAGACACAGCCACACCCACATTCACACCCACCTTCTTACTCCATACCCATTCATATACTCACACACGATCACATGATATGTAATCTGATACTTTTGTAAACTAAATAAAGGAGCAGAGGAAGGGTGCAGCAACTTGGAGTTGATGAGGAAGCTGCCAGCAGAGCAAGCTGCATTCTCCCCTTGCAAGTAAAAGATCCAGACGTCTTTTGTGTTGTTACTTTGTCGTCACATATGTTAGAATAAACCTAACACTTGTGGCCAATCATATTATTGTTATTGTATCATGTTGTGCCTGCAGTCACCACTATGTGGCGCTGCTGCTCCATGATTCAGCAGTGTTGGAGGACATGTTTATGAACCTTTTGTCACTGAGTAGATGTTATCACAAAAAGGAGTGGACAGAGCCTTGAGGTCTAGCAAACAACAGGGGGTTATGTAAATCAAAGGAGTGGATGGATTCAGGGTTCCCTGTAAGGATGTGGATTGGGAGCCTTCCCATTGTTCCCATGGAGTAGAGGTGTTTTGGGACACTGGGAGTGTGTGTGCTTGGGAAGGCATTTGGTGTCTTAGCATCTTAGACTCAAACCAAATGTGAAAACCACTAAAATCTAACACTGTTGCACATTACTGTATCGAGATACCCAAAGTGATGACTGTGATAAAGAGTCATTGTGGGATTTGGAATGATATATACAAAGCTTTCTGGGTCACGGTATGGGCCTTTGGCTAGTAAGTGTTTTGAAAGAAGACCTGGCTTACCGCCACTGTAGCATATGGAAAGAATAATGTGAGCCATTTGATGAATCCATCCACGTCTCGAACACAGCCCTGAAAGTATGTGATACGCTTGATAAAGTATTAAGTCTTCATCCGTTGTCAAAAGAAAGTAGACAAATTGACCAAGTCCTGCAGTTTTCCTATGCTGTAGACATTCCAGGTGGGCAGTAAAACACTTGCTAATAACATTCTATTTATCATTTAATGTCAGGGTGTGTTAGTTTCAATAAGGCACCACTTGTTAGTTTTCTATCCCTGGTCCCCAACACAAAGAACTTCCTTATGTTTTATTTGGTCCTTTTAGAGGCAACCTTGTACGGTCCATTAGTTTTGTTGGCCGCCCTCTCTTATAGGTGTCATGGAGGGTAAGGTCAGGGTTGGAAGACATCAACCCAAGGCTCAGTTGACATGGTCTGTGCGGCAGTGACCTGCAGAATCAGTTTAACAAGGTAGACAACAATGTTTCTGAAACTATTAGCACATTTCTTGGTTCGAAACAACAGTTAGCTTCATTAGCAGTCAAAGCTTCACAATAAAAACAAAACCCTACTAACTCACATCTGTTTTGACTCACTCTGGGGTCTTTGCCAGTCATTAGAATAACAGCAGATGTAGACTGAGTCAGACAGTAGTCCAGACGTCCAGACCAGTTGTCAGTTGGAACAGTCACTCAACTTTAGTCTTGAGGTCATGACCTTTTTTTGTGTAGCATGCTTCAATATAGCACAAGGAAGGTGGCAGACGAACAGTGCAAGGATTCTCCAGTGTTGCAGCAGGTCTCTGGTTTGAATCCAACGAGTCCCTTAATGTGGCGTACAGACAGTGAAAAGTTATTATACCAACCTGATGAAGGGAAACACTAAACTTGAATCAGTCTGGTAAGATTCAAGACTTTCGTATTTGGGCCAAGCACTTATCAGGTATTGTTGGGTTTTTTTTTTCAAAAGATCCTATATGGGTCTTGATCCCTAATTTATCACTGTTCTAGAGTCCAGCCTTGTTTAGTCAGTCCAGACAATTGTTTCCCAAAGACTGGGTCATGACTTTTAAAATATGGGTCCCCAGAAAAAAAGCTTGGGAAACACTGGTCTAGACCAGAGGTTATCTGAACCTCTTTACCGAAAAGCTTTTGAATAAAGCACCTGCACAAAATCTTTAACTGTAAACACTTTTTTTAACCACGACTGTACATCATCACACACTGATGGTGGGGGAGGTTTCCAATGACAAGTCTGGACAGCGAACAGACGCGCGCGTCTAATCAATGAAGCTCCTTCTGGTTCTTTTGCCTCCTCTGCTCCTCTCCCCTCCTACTTACTGACTCGCTCAGCTCTGTGAAGAAAGTTGCCAGTGGCCAGAAGAACACTCCTCCCTCTCCTCTCCGCTCATCAGAGCAGGGAGCGTTCCCCCTTTCCAAATGCTCCATGCTCAGGCTCCCGGTGTTGCACCGAGCGTGTTGTCCCCGCTGAAGACAGACTTCGAGCCACTTCTTCATGTCATGACACAGCGCAGCGCAGGATCCAAGTGGTCTTTTCCAACACTACGGGACCCCCACTCTCCGCGACTCCGTCCACGCCTGGTCACATCGCCTACGTGAAATATGCGATAGTTGCAGGAGCGCCGGGTCTTCTCCTGCTGCTGCGCTTTGTTTCCATGTTGGAATCCGGCCACGAAGAGCTCCACGACTCTGCAGAACAAGGTCAATGTTCTGCAGCTGCAGCCCCAGCTGCCCCTGTGTGCACGGCCAAATGCATGGTTGGATGTGTATTACAAAATTAATTCATCGATTTTTATCATCGGTTAATCGATAATGAAATGATTTGTCTTTTTTTTTTCTTTTTTCTTCATAATAGTGATGAGTCCTAAGAAATTGAGTGGCAAGGATGGTAGTGAATAAATATGAGCGTGGTGCCCGCGTGAGTGATCTAGCACGCATGTATGATCGCAGTACATCCACGATATGTACCATCCTAAGGTAAAAAAAAAAACAAAAAACAAAAACCTTAAGTTACTTCTAAGTTTATGTAAGTTATGTAGTGTACAAGTAAGGTACGATACGGAATCAAGAGTCTAAGTACGGGCCAACTCTCTTCCCTCCCTCCTCCTCATCCTCCGCACATGCCGCCATTAGCCGCTACTGTATCGTCTGTCTCGAAGCTAAGAACTGATAATTAAAACCACATTTTATTTTATATCACAGGAATCCTTATATACTATAACTAATACCCACTTTTTCGTGTGTGTATGTCTCTATAGCAATTACAAGCATGTTTCCCATTGTTATTAGCACTAATAAGGGAGTTTTTTAGAGGGCGGAACATTTTTTTTTTTTTTGAAAAACAATGATTCGAGATACGTTCTGGAACTGATTATGCTCGTATCTCGAGGTTCCACTGTACTCGATGTTAGAGCGGTGCAGACAGCTGAGTGGATGTGGTGGGGAGAATTTATTTTCTTCAAAAAACAACACATATAAACCTTGTCAGTGTGACCCAGAAACAGTGTATAGAACACCTCGTTACCACAGCCAGCCAAACTGTAAGCACTGCCCGGCTGTGTTTTCCACATCTGCCTTTGGAGAATTCCAAGAATCACAGGCTGTCGTCATTGGACTTCACTGTTACCTAACTTTCATAGGTGTGTGTGTGTGTTATTTTCAGTGCTCGCTGACCCACGAGTGTTAATCCTGCTCAAGTATTTTATTGTTCTAGTACTGGTTCGTCAGTATGCATTTGTCTGTACGACCTGCGGAATCTTTATTTATCCTCATTCTGTCTCAGGTCCTTTTGAAAGTGGGGCATAAGGAGAGCAGGAGGAGTTCATCCCCGAACAGTCTGGGCTTGTTTGGAACTTAACAAAACCTACACACACACACACACACACACAGAGAGAGAGAGAGAGAGAGAGACTCCTGATCTTAATGGGTAAAACCCAAACAGACCTCAGACTGAACTTTCATTAATTGTCCGATTTCCAAAAGAAGAAATCGACAGAGCCCTGTGTTGTGTATCTGCATCTGTACACAGGTTTTCACGTAGTCGTTAAGCATGTACAGCACCTGTACCTGTTAGTACGTACTTGTCTACGTGTGTCTTCATTTGCAGACCCAATTCAATCGGTGAAAAAGCCCGCACCTGTAAGAACACGTAGCGACATACTCAGGAGAACGTTTTTGTATTGCTACGACTTCTGCCGCAGAGAAGGAATGCGCCTGAGGGAGGGAGAATGGCTCGTATTCAGATGTGTGAACTAATGGTAGACTCTCCGATGAAAATGACTGAGGCGTGACCTTCTCGGAGAATGTTCAGAGGGAACGTCTACCCCTTCTTTTCTTCCAGTGCAGAACGTTTGACAGAAAATGAGTTTTTGCTGATTGGTTGTACCATTATAAACATAACAATACATGCAAGAAATCGTAACTGGAAAAAATATTTGACTATATAAATATGGAAACATGAGAAAAATGTAATATAAATGGTTGTTTTTCATGTTAAAATGACCCAAAAAATTCAATATTGTTCATCTCTGAAAACAATGACATAAAAATCGATTTGCACCAAACAGGAAGCAATGTTGATACTTCCTCTAATGTGATCCGAAGAGTCTCATTGTCCAGGTAACAGGCCAGTCCATTAATTCTCATATGTTGGCTAGCTTAGATGTTTTTAAAATACGGGTCCCCAGAAAAAAGTTTGGGAAACACTGTGTTAGCGCCTCCCCTGAAGGACTCTAGCGCCCCCCAGTGGAGGTCGCATTTCATACTTTAAAACTTTTCTAGCGAAATCTGAGATAATATAGGCCGGACTACTCTTTATACTTCTTTAGAAAACATACTTGCATTGCTGCCACCTACTGGGGTTGTTTTGTCCAGTATTTTTTTATTAAGAGAAATTTTAATAAATAAATAAAACAAAATTAAAAACTTTTATGAATTAGAGAAAACATTACAAACTTCTCCAAATGCCTTAACATTCTGCCATTGGTTGAAGCCAAACTTTAAAAATATTTCTAGATCAATCAATTAACACTTTTTTTCCTGCCTCTATTTCAGGGCTTATGTTGTAAATGTCTTCATCCTGTCATTTCGTTGCTTACTCATCGGCTAATTTTCTTTTTGTTTTTTTCTTTAGAGAGGATTCTTCGTCCTGCCAGAAGGACAATATTTTATTGAACCTGTTCAGGAATCTGCTGACGAGCTTCATTACGAGCCCCACATTGTCTATCCAAGAGTTAACACAGACAGTGGCAAAAAAAAAAAAAACGCAGCCTGGGGTCCAAAGAAACGCTTAGCCCCTGTGGAGTTCAATGTGTGTGTGTGTGTGTGTTAACCAGTGTGTCTCTGTGTACAGCCGTGGATGTTCCTGTGTATCTGTGTCCATGTCAAATGAGGATAACACTATAGTGCAGTTGGTTGATGTCTTGCATTATCCATGCTTCAGATGTGCCAAGTGACTCTGACCAGGTGGAGAGGGAATGGGAGGAATGGGAAAGGGAGCAGCAGAGAGGGGAGGAGGAGGAGGAGGCGCGGTCCCGCTCGCAGCGTTCGGTCAGCAGGGAGCGCTGGGTGGAGACCATGGTGGTGGCCGACTTCAAACTCATCGAATATCATGGCAGTGACAACGTGGAGTCCTACATCTTCACCATCATAGACATGGTGAGATGATGGGACGAGATCCAGTGGGTGGCCAAAGTGGGGTGCGGGCCCTTAATGGGGACTGGACTAGACTGTTTTAAAGATTTGTAAAAGAAATAGTGGTTCATTTACTAACTCGTGTTTTTACAGGTGGCAGGAATCTTTCACGATGCCAGTATTGGGAATGCCATCCGTGTTATCTTGGTGTGCCTTATTTTGTTACATGGAGAAGAGGTAAAACGCCAAACGGCTTTGCACATTGTTGTCCTAAGTTGTAAAGCAAACTTGTAGCTTGAAGCTCTGGCCAGTAATTGTGACAAAAATTCCTGTCTGGTGAAGTCGCCCTCGCTCCTCCCCATGTCACATGCATTCAGAATTGGCTATTACAGAGTAACTTCAGGGTGAACGCTGACTCTGTGTGTACTTCTACTTCTTGATTTCATGTAAAGATAATCTTTACGTTTACATTTAGAATTCTAAGGCTGGGAGACCGTTCCACGGTGGTAAACATTACAGGCTGTTCTATTCTATTCCATAATTAAATTAAAGTATTTTAATTTACAGAAATTTTAATTTAATTTGACTTAAAATTTGGATGTGTCGAAACACCAGTGTCAGATTAAGACACCAGTGTCAGATTAAGTTGCCTTTTTGCATACACAGTGGAACCTCGAGATACGAGCATGATCCGTTCCAGATATATAATCAGAGAGAAAATCACGTAGATAACGCTACATATGGAAGCGTTGCTTGCAGAATTCACCGAACACTTGAAGTGAAAGAGTAAGGCGGCATGGGCTGCTCCGAGTGCTCGGCCACCTAGCGTCGGCATCTGTAAGCGTGCTCGTATCTCAAATCTTTACTCGTATCTTGAAGCAAAAAGTTGCTCGAAGACTTGCTTGTATCTCGAAATACTTGTATGTCGATGTTTCACTGTACTTTTTCTTACGTTACACTTAATTACACGGTTTGCCCTCGAGTTTAATTTCCATATCAGGCTTTGCTGTAAAACTAAAAAAAAGTCAAATTTTGATGTAGTGAAATGGATTGTGATGACTTTCCAAATAAGTTGACAATGACCAGACCTTCATAAACAAGAACCTGCACCAAACAGTGTGTATCCTGTTACCTGCTAAGTGTACCACTGCTGTAATGCTTGAATGATAACATGTCTCCAGTCACTAGGTGGCAGCAACTCATACAGTGGTTTGTACAGATAAAAATATACATTATCAGGTTCTCAATAGTATTTCAATTCACAGGGGTGTGGGTCGGGGGGGGGTGCGTGAAAACATTTCTGTCCCCAAGGCGGGGCATTACAGAAAATAATTGAGAACCACTGACTTAGGGAATCCCGCCCAGCGGTCTAGTCCACCAGACCTAGTCCACTATAATCGACTAACTGTAAGTTGTTCTAATCCAAGTGTTGTTTGTTGCAGAAAGGGCTGAAGATTGTTCACGATGCGGATGCCACTTTGGCTAGTTTCTGTGCATGGCAAAAAAACCTCAATCCTCAGAGTGACACACACCAAACTCACCATGACATTGCTGTGCTCATCACCAGGCAAGTCACAGAATGCTTTGAGTTGATTAATCGTTTCAGCTTTAGTTTGTTCCCACATGGAGAACCTCACCGCTCCTGGACCTACGAAAGAGCCCGTCATGCTCCAGATTGGCATATAAATATATATTTTTGTATTATCTAACTCTTTGAAATGTTAGGTTTTTGTGAACTGTCTGAACATTTTTACACATATATACACATACATATATACATACATATACATACATGTATGTATATATGTCCATATATGTCCATACATACATATATGTCATGTGTGGGCATCGACATTGCAGGAGGCAGGCAGGACCCAAATGCAGTACTGGTGCAGGTAGTTTATTTGAAAGAGCAAAAACAACAAAAAACTCACCTCTACACAAGAACAGGACAAACTGAGCATAGGAACAGACTAGACTAGGCTACAGCTACACCATTAACCAGCTGCAATACACAACACAGTCACTTACTTACACACTGATCCAACTACAATGATCCAACAAGGGCAGAGTGAGGGAAATATACACAGGGAGCACCAGGTGACACAAGTGAGGCTAATTACAGACAGGTGAGTGTGATCACACAGATTACCCCACACAGCAGACAGCAGTAAAAGGAAACAGACAGACATGACACATATATATGTATATGTATGTCCATACATACATATACGTATGCATATGTAAATGTAAATAGAATTTCTATTTAGTTATCAAAGTGTGTTAAAAAATGAATCTGCTTATAAGAAACATGAATACTCTGCTCTGCACAGGAAATGTTCTGCACGTACTCAAGAAATGTTTTACAATGTATTCTTCAAAGGATGCAGTCTGCTCCTCATCATCTATGTGAATCGTGTGAACTTTGCCCAAAAAGAATGTACACAACTGCTCAGCACCTATGTCTGTTCCTCATCATCTATGTGAAGCGTGCGATCTTTGCCCAAAAGAATGCACGCAATGAAAAATAACTGCTCAGCACTTACATAACTTTCTCAATAAAAGGAGCTGCAGTGCTCATACACTTTGGGACTCTGCAAAGCTGTTGGCCTCTCTGCTTCCCCTCGCACCGAGTAAAACTCACAACATTGTCAGGTGTGGTTCTTTTCCAGGTCATTCTATCTGTGGCAGTTAGATGACAATAGTGGTTGCTGAAAAACGTATTTTTCGGCACCAACATCTTGGTCCTTCGAGCCGGATCTCAACAGATGACGTGTGGGACGATGGGAAGACGCCTCTGAAGTCTGTGCACAGCAATTCAAGTCCACCTTTCACCGTGGCCAGTTGATGTCCTCCCTCGCCCTTC